AGGGCAATGAGGAGTGCAGTGTGTATTGGGTGATGATGAGAAACGTCATGTCTGGCATAAGGGTCAGACTAGGAAGAAAATGAAGTGAAGCCAAGAGGGTGCCTGGGAAGTCTTGCTGAGGTTGAAGAGCAGGTACAAAAGAAGCAAGGTGCAGAGTAAGTGGGTACTGAATGCCATAATCTGAGCGTAGTATTTCTGAACTTAAAATTTTAGAAAGTGATGTATTTCAGGGGTGTCCACGGGCCTGAGGACGATGGAAAAATAAGAGGTCAAGGAATTATGAGGCTAGACTATTATTTGGCAATCATCATAATGAAGTCTCTAGAAAGTGGCAAGATTAAAAAAGGACAATAAGGACGAACCAGGTGCCAAAAATTTCAATGACGGTGTAGACAGCAGAGGCAAGAAAGAAATATTGAAATGTTGTAAGCATCAATAAAACATTACTTAAGTCAAAGTAGAAGAGACCGGTTCTAGTGCGTTGGAAGTTAAAAAAGAAGGGGGGGGGGGAACTAGTGGAGAGATTCACCCATAGTGTTAAGCCCTTCCATATGGAAGAGTAATAAGACTCATGAAGTGGGGAGAAGCAGAGGGTAAGAATTAATCCATCTCCACTTGAGGGATCTGTCAGGAAGCAGGAAAGCTTCTATAGGAGTCATCCAAGTAGGAAAATTCCAGATTTTGGTTATGGCAAGGAGGTGGAGGAAGTGTTCAGTGAAAAAGCCAAGGATCTTTCCTTTCCAGTACGTTACTGTCCAAAAAAACTTTCGGCAATGATGGAGGTAGTCTGTATCTGCACTGTCCAAGAGGTAGTCACTAGCCACTTGTGGTGGTTGAGTAGCTAAAATGTGGTCTGTGAGACTGAGGGACTGAATTTATAATTTTACTTAATTTCAGTTAGCTTCAATTTCAATAGCCGTATGTGGCTGGTGGCTGTCGTATCATGCAGTTCTAAAGGCTGTTCGACAGCTGTCAATACATTTATGCTTAGTTATTAATAGGTAATGACAAAAATAAGTTACCCCTCTAAGTGGATGTTTGTATTTAAAGGAGACAGTGACTGAGGTTAAAGCAGGAAATTCCTGAATGTAGAATTTCAAGTGCTGCGGAAAACCATGAAGACTACTAATTTGGGGGCCAAAAGCCCTTTCTAGTGCTTCTCGAATTCAATCACGTAAACCGGTCCTCTGTGAACAAAGTTAACGCTAATGAATAAGATTGACTTTATGAAATGCCAACTATATATACAATCTTGTAATAAACAAGTATCTTAGTAAACTGCAGATGGCACAGTCTTAAACACAGCTGAAAGGAGGAAGGATTAGATGAAGTAGAGATGCTGGGTACAGGGAGAAAAAAAAAAACATAATTAAGATTCCAGTTCATGTGCACCTTATTTGAACTCCTGCTTTTTTACTCTATCATTTGTGTGTAAAAATGTCAGAAATGACTGCCAAAGAGTTGTTGCGTGTGAGCATTAGATTAAATCTGCTAGTGATTGGCTAAATGATAGTGCAGCTTAACCTCTTGATGGGTTTCAATGTTACTCGTTTAAAATGGAGATTACAAGGCTGTTTTGCAGCCATGTTGTCAGTATATGAGGAGGGCCTAACATGTTTTGAAGAAAGCCACTGATGGATGGACCAATTGAAACACTCATTGAGCTGGTGATTGGAGGTTTCTGAGATTCAAGAATGTACAAGTTATAGATAAAATAACATAGGTATACTGGAACAGTGACAAATAAATAATAATAATAAACAAATATGCCTTTGTACAAAACTTAAAAAATTTTAAATGCTTAATATCCATGTGCTTCACAATAATCATATAGGATTAACATATTACATTAATACATAACATACTAATATATGTTATTTTATTACAATAATATATGTTATGAACTCCAACTTACAGTCAAGTTTTCCTAGTTTGCTCATGGCTATCCAGGCTGTTAGTGGTACCAATTTACTATTTCTTCCACTAGACCACACTAATCATTACCAGATGCGTTACTAAAATAATCTCAATACAAGCGCTATACATTCTTATTTTGTGAGGTATTTGACTGCTGTGAGAATTGGGTGGTAAGAGGTTCTTTGATGATAATGGCCAAATAGTCGGAAGCTTCTGGAGCCACTGTAACTTGGGACTTACTTGCCTGTAGGCTCAGAAAGTAGCCACCTCCTTCCATCTCAGGCCTTGAGCAATCGAATAAGAGTAGCTGAAGCTACTAATGTTGGTTTTGGACAATCTCTTTCTCAAATTTTGTTTTAATTTTTGTGTTTCTTTTGAGGAGAGAGAAATAACGTTCACTTGAAGGAAATAAATAAAATAACTGAGAATTCTTGCAGGCTTCAGATTATTATTCAGACTTAGGTATTCACCAGCTAAATGCAGAAATATTCCTAAATAATTAAATTCCAAATGGTAGTGATAATCCTGCAAATCTCCCATGATTTTAGAATTTATTTTCCAGAGGAGAAATCTACTACCTGTAAGCTGCTGGGGGTGAGATGCCCATGTTGCTTAAAACTTTAGTGGATCAGTCCAACATTATATCAGAGATGCTAGGTTTTTAAGATTTTACTTGTATTGTTAAGGAAATAAACATCTTTTCCCCAGGTAGCCTTGAAAGCACAAATAAATATTTTTTATTCCATTGTCGTAAATGAATCTACAAGAATACTTTGAGAGATGGAAGGGAAAAAATCCAATGTTACCAATAAAGTGAGAATATCTTCCTTGTGCTAGGTCTTGCTATGAAGACCATGTGAAATAATCTATATATGTAATGTTCCTGGCTCCATGCCTGGCATCCAGTAGGTTCACAAAAATGTCAGCTCTCACCTCTCCTCCCATGAATGCATAGGGCACCAAAGCCTGTCATGTTATTATTTGAAAATATCATCAGCCTCATCCATGACAGCTCTAGATATATAGATCCCTCAGGAAAGCATAGGAAGGGTTAGTAACCTTCTCTAGATTATGCAGATAGAAAAACACTACCAGTGTTGGCTTAAGCACCCCAAATCCTACCTTGACATTGCAATCACAAGCCTTATCCACCTTCGGAATTTCAGGACTTACCTTGGGCTTGTTGCTGTAGATGATAATAGCTAGTAGGAAAGAAATTGCATGGATGAAATAAATAAATATTTTATTTCCTCCCCAGGAGGATTAGAAGAACATATTTAAGGAATAACAAATTTAATTAAATATTCTACAACCCACCTTCCCAAAATATAGAAAAAAACTATTTAATTCCCCCTACCCATGGCAGGGGTGAGGTGTGTGGGGGGAAGGGGGAGATAACTCTCAAAGATCAAGGTATCAGTGTGCAAAGAAATTATACTCTTCCTAAAGGATGATATTCAGGGTGACTTAAATACTGCAAAAAAAAAAAACAACCCCAAAAAACAAAAAACAATGATCATTGTTTAAGAACTCTCCCCCCCCACTCCCCCGCATGGGGCATGTCAGTTGGCCCTTTTCATTGTGTCTACACATAGTGGTCAACTACAGTAACACCTTGTTTCTCCCGTGTTCATGTTTTGATTGTCAGAATGGCTGATAAGTGGATAAACTTCTTAATTAAAATTTAAACTCTAGAACCCAGATGTCCTTTTGCACCACTGTGTGTGAGGTCACGAATGCCTGCAAACTAGGGAGCTCAGTGGTTACTCACTGCGCAGCATCTTCCTCAACCCCAATCATTTTAGCTAAGTGCTATTCCACCTAGGGCGAGGATCCCTCTGTTAGCCTGCCTAAAAGGTATGTGGTGAGGGGCATATGCACTTAGTGGCTCAGCAGCCAGAGGTTTCCTTGGATGGGGCTTGTGATGGTAAATATTAATGAAGAAGCTGCGCTGTACTGGCAATGATTCTCGACCAAATTAGATATTCTCTAAGTGCCAAATGTCGCCCGCTGAATCTGAGTGGAGGAGTGCTGTCGCTTAAAATAAAGGGGTCTTGAACACAATACAAAATGTTGGTCACCTCAGGTCGCATACTACCCAATAGGAAGCAAAAGGCAAAGGGCACGGCGCAAAAAAAAGAAACAGACACACAGACACGTTTTGCAATGACGAACTTTATGTGGCTTCAGGAACGGCAACCTGTTCTTATGCTTAGCAATTCCGAGGTACACTGTTAAGACTGCTTGTCAGGTTAAACTGAGTTAAGGAACCGGAGTAAGGCAGCACTGGGGACTTTTCCGCAATCCTCTTCAAAATATAGTGACTTAGGTAAACTAATAAAAAAGGCTCGCTGAATGCCCTTATACTCTCCTCTTAAACTTACGTGACCATCAGCAGCGCTGTTCAAATTCAGCCCACAGCTGTTAGACCCAGACACAGATCCGCAGTATTCATCTCCCCAGAGTTACCGGTGTTCACTTAGACCCTCCAAAAATTGGGGCCGGTTTTCAGTGAGAACGTAATAGAAGATCCTTCGCCCCACTCTGCTCCCACTGTCCCAAGCCTTGTGCCCCCCTCCCACCTTCCTGAAATCGTATTTCTTAAAAACGTAGCCTGTATCCCCAATTCAGTGCACCTTCCGCAGCCAGAACCTCTGCCCAGAGACACCCACGTTCACTCTCCCCCCACCCCGCCCTCCACTTCTTGAGACCCCACGCCCGCCTCCTGTTTCTCTCTCAGCAATCCGGGTGCTGGATTCTCGAGACCACCGCCCCCCCCCCCCCCGCATCCGCCCAGCGCCTTCATCTCAAGTCCCCGCTTCCCAACCTCCTTTGAGGTTTCAGTGCCCCTCTCGTGGAACTAAGACCCCCTCTCCTCCCAGAGACCCCAGCCTCTCCGTGAGCTGCGCTTTCAGAGTCCCTCCCTACCCCCCACCCCCACCCCCCCACCTCCCCACCTCCCGCTCGGGCCAGCGCAGTTGTGCAAGCTGCAACCATCCGGGACCTGTCCCCGCTCCCCACCCCATCCCCCGCCTCAGCCGTTAGGGTCTCGGCTAGCAATGCCGCCCGGGGCTCCAACTTACCACAAGCGTCCGGGAGGAAGACAAGGCAACGGTCGCCGCGGCGGCAGCTAGACGAGAAACGGACTCGGCTGCAATCGCCCAGCGGAGCCCGCGGCAGTCAGTGCGCTGCGCTGCGCTGCGCGCCGCAATCTCGCGCCTCGGCGGAGGGAGGGACGGAGGGAGCTCGGTGCGATAGTAAGCACCGGCGAGTCGACCTCCTCTGGGCGACCGTGCGCCCCCGGACAGGTTTGGCTGGTCTTGCTCCACTATCTTACTCTAGCTTAGTAACTGACCACCTCCAGCATCTCTGCACTATTCGCGTCTTCTTTCTTCTTCGATGGCCCCTAACTAACTACACTACTCTAAACGGACGAAGGCCATCACGCGAGCGCCACGACGATCTCGACGACTCCGACGACAACGGTGTGCAAGAAGGAAGAAAAGTTCATATGCAATCGCAGGTAAGGGGCGGCAGGCTGATGGAGTAGCCAAGGTTCTCAATCTAGCTGCTCCAAAGGCAGGATCGGAAAGATCGGTGCGCCCGAGGATGTGAGCTTCCTCGGCGAGCACCAGAGCGCCTACCCCGCGCTGGCGATGCTGCACCGCTCTCTTGGGCCAAAACCGGAGGAGGGGTGGAGCCAAGGGCGACCAATCAGCGCTCAGCGTTACACTGCCCCCGGCCTGTTTGGGCCGTCTCTTAGTGCATCTGGAACCTGCTGGCAGGGGGCGCGAGACCCCATGGTGGTGGTGGTGGCGGTGGTGATTAACTTGATTTATGAAGCCTGGAGACTGGGGGAAACCAGGGTCAATCATGGGGGGGGGACTGTCTCAAGAATGCACCCTTAAAGATTGAAGAAAACACCTCTTCCCAGACAGACAGACAGACAGACACACACACACACAGATGCACACACCTTAACATACTTGGCTCTCAGAAGTTCCACCAAGCTTTGAAACTCCCTCTGAGGTTCCCGGCTTTTCCCCAACAGGAGCAACTGAGGCATTCACAAGGTCAAACATATTTAGTGAGCAAAGGCCGAGGCTCTCAGGCCCTCTTCCCCCCTTGTCCCTAACCCCAAACGCAGAGAAGGGAGAAAGGAAGACTCTTGGCCTTCATGTCCCAAGAAGGCACCGCTTAGTTTCCTTCTTGACCCCACAGCCCCCTCTAAGGGCTTAGAAAGACACCCCGAGGGCAGCTCCTTTGGGTTTCTGAGGTGGGGCTGCACCTATTTCTCTGGTCCAGAGCCTGAGGCCCACAGTTAGTTGGTTGCCCAGCCACTGTGAGGGCTGCCTTGGCATGGTCAAGACATCAGGGTAAGGGGCCAACCACAAAAGCTCCCTTTTGGCAACTAACGGGATGCCGAGCTGCAGCCCGGCAAGCAGAGCCCTTCTCCACTGGCTCCCAGGCGCCGCCGGGCAGGTGCCTGCGGTGTCCTGGCTGCCCCGCAGAGAAGGGGGGTGGTCGGAGCCACCTTGGCCAAGACGCCTAGGAGGCACCAAGACCAAACTTAGAAATGGGGAAGATCCCACCGAGAAGGGGGCAAAGCAGATTCCTTCTAAGAAGAAATGGGAGGGTGGGGGGGGGGGTGTCTTGGCCGAGGCTCCGTGGCGATGTACCGAGGGCCGCGGAAGAAGTGGGGACTGGCTCCCTGCCGGTCCCAGGTAGCTGCACCAAAGAAAGAGATCGAGACTACGGTTTGGCTACTTGGGACCCGACCGCAGAGCGCCGATTATATGGAACGGACTACATGGGAGGCCATACGGCAGCTAGGAGCCTCGAACCCCAGGGAGCGCAGAGGGAAGGACGCGGCTGGCCGCTCTGGGGACCGTCCACCTCAGGAGCACCAAAAGTTACGGTTGGGGAAGGAGGTGGGAGCAATGGTCAGAGTTGGGTCCTTTCCTTATTCCGAGTCACTTCTTTCTGTGCCTTGGTTTCCCAATTTGTAAAAGGAACTTACTGGTCTATTTCAATAGCGGCTTTTGGGAATCCTAGGATTCCCTCCATCCCCACCGAATTCAGACACTTTCGCAGGGTTCTGATTTTAATTTGGCAGTGAACATACTGTCCACACCCAAGTTCTGTTTCGCAAAGCAAAAACCCATCGCAGTTTTCTTGAAGCATCTGTTGAATGCTACTCTATGATGCCGCGCAGGTGGCGGCGAGAGCGCTGCCAAGTCCACGGACTGCACAGCATTCGCATCTTTAGAAATGCTTTGTTAGCGAACAGTAATTTATACATATCAAAGAGAAAACGTATGTCTTCTTTTTAAATAATTAAGCACTCATCTTTAAAAATTCCCCAAGTGTCTTCTTTCTCTATGCCCGTGAGCACAGAATGCTTCGTTCTGGCTTTTCTGGCGGGACTTACTTATTTTGTTGGAAGCTGAGACATTAGTTTTACTCTTAAAAGTGTAAATATAAATCCCTAGGATACATTCGCCCAGGCAAAAGGGACTCGGCTGAGCCGAGAGCCTGAGATAGCATCCACCGAAGGCGGGGACCTCTTCGAGCTCACCAGCTCGCTGGGGAGCTGGCTTAGAGCCGCTGACCACAATAACAACAATGACGAGGATGAGTGTGATCATAATCATAGTCATAATAATTATTACGATTATTACTACCACTTTTACATATCTCGCTCTTTAGGCTGTTCTCTCCTTCTGCTCGAGAAAGGCAAAAGTACCGAGAAGGACCCAGGGTGAAGCCCACTCAGGGATGGGGAAGGTTCCCGGTGCATCACGGAGTTAGCTAACCAGGCGGCGGGCTGAAGCGCGCCTGGGCTTCCGAATTCGAGTACACACGGGCAGGCAAATTTTGCCTTTGAGCGGCGCCCGCCGAGTGGCCTGGAGCCGGAAAGGCTGAGCCCGAGCCGGGGACGATGCCGGGCTCGGGGCGCCGGGTTCAGCCAGAAGCGCCAGCTCCACTTTCCCCGCACAGGCGGCGCATACCGCCTCTTTGGGTTCTCCAGGTGGCGGCCTGGCCCAGCGCTAGCGGATCCGATGGGTTTTGGTGGTTTTGGCAACACTAGCTCGGAGAGTGTAGTGCAAGGAGTAATTTAGGGCGCACTTTAAGATCGGGAAAGCAAACTCAAAACAAGTACATGCCGGCGCGCTCAGCGGTCGCCAGAGAGGTTTTCTCGAACTCCTGCCTAAACTGGGGAATCAGCTGAGGATTTTCCCGGCTTTCCCTTCCCTTCCTTATGTCTATGGAAGTTGTCCCTGGAAACAGAGGAGTTATATACTGTGAAATCCTCGGCTTTGAGGCAATTCCCCAGCGGTCCCCGGAACAGTTTCCAAAAACTTGCCGCGTTTTCTAAGGATATAGACATGCTTTTGCAACTTTCACACCAGGGGGATTCCCCTCACCTCAAATATGTTCCTTCCCCAAACTCCAGATTTAAAAGTTCAGGAAGGATTTAAAGAAGATTGTTACTAAGTAGATAAAAGTTCCTCGTCATTTAAGACTTTGGGAACGTTCTCATAAACAATAGTAGCTCACTGGAAAAATCTACTTCTTTACTCATTACTATTTCTCCTCTTGACCAGAGAACACTATTGTAACAAACCTAGAACATGATAGATTAATATACTATGATTGATTTGTTAATAAGTGACCAGGGTCTTGAAAAATATTCCAAGGAAGATATTTTTGCAGAGCAAAAGAAGCTACACAAAAAAATTCTACCTGGAAATTTTTACCATAGGACATAAATGCAAGGCATTTTGATATTCCTTCCACCCATATTTTTTTTTTTTTAGGTCTAAAGGAAATCCTGATAGAGAGGTTTTTTTTGTAATTTTACAATTGTATCAGATAATATTTTCAGCATTTCATATTTTTGCTTAACCAGAAAAACCCAGGATCATACCCATAATGTCCATCATTGAGGCATGATATAGGAAGAGATAAACTTTCATATTATTTTACACAGCAAATTTCTCCTTTACTGTTCCTCAAGCAGGGTCATTGAATAGGAAAAAAATCGTAGATAGAGATGGCTCATTATACACAAAATCTTTTCAAAGCTGGTTAGGATTATTTTTAATGCAAACCAGAGCAGCTGAACTCTATGTGCTGTGTAGGAAGGCAGGGGGCAGTCTCTGATCATGTCAGTCTCTCTGAGTACAACTTGTTTTTGGAAAGATCCCTGTTTTAGCGAAAAACAACAAGCAACTCTGGTCCTCTGATACTCTCATCCCTGGTTGGGGGAAAAAAACCTGAAAACCTTTGGGGAAGATTTGGAAGTTCCCGTCGACATATTTTTGCCACTTCTCAGAATTAAAAGGTATATCAAGATTAAGAATCCGTGCTTATCATTATTTTTTTTAAACAAATGTTACTGAATTAACGTAATTGTATCTGACATTCTTGTAGTTGTGACTTCTGGTAATCAAGTATATATTTTTAAAAAACCAATAATATACATGTCAGTTTGAGTAGGGAGGGTATGGATTCTAAAAGCCTCACCAAGGAGAAGAAAGAGCAACAAGCTACTTAGATGTCCGTTCTTTAGAGAAACATGGGTTGTCATGGAGCACATTCATGCTATGATGAATGCATTTTATATTATGGACATGTATTTCACTCTTCCAGGACAGAATGAAAAGGTTGACAATTAAGGCCTTTTGCTTAAATTAAACTAAGATTGAAAGGCCAGGGCAACAGTGGTTTTTCTTTCATTCCTAGCCCTGAACTAGCAGTTTGTTGCCTCTGCCTCTTATTCTCACTCTTTCAGGCCATTCTGATCTCTGTTGCGCATTCCTGTAGTAATTAGGACTTTTACTATGCATGAGAATATTTGCTTGTTTGAGAGTTGTCTCTGAAGTTCATGAGTGCGGCTTTCAGGGTCTGTAAATCAACATTATTACATTATTTCAAATGAAGTATGTCATCGTGCATTGCTAGCTATTTTCTTCTTTTCTTTTTGTAAGAACCATCTCCTCAATCAAATTATAAGTATCTCAGGGAAAGGGGTTTAGTCATATTCTTTTCTTCATCGACTTTGTTCCTGTTTATCCTAATACTGGGCACAAAGAATATAAAGTAACAATGATAACTATTAATTGTTGACACAAAAGCGGTTAGGACAAAAGGTCAAGAAGGGCAGGGCTGGTAAAACATGAATTTTTCAAGGACCTGAATATAAATATAAATATAGAAAGTGTTTTACTAAATTGGCCCATCATGCAAATAGATCATGACAATTTGAACGGACCAAAGTAAAACTTAATAGGAAAAAATGTGAGATGCTGAACTTTGGGTACCAAATTTCCGTGCACAAATTTTGGTCATGGTGGATTTTAGTTGGCATTTGGATCAACAAGTCCTCACTGCGATATGATTGCCAGAAAACCTAATTTTATCTTGGGCTTTTGCAACTTTCACGGAAAGAGGATACAATTGGGCTGTGTTTGGTGCTTCCAGGCACAGTATTTAAAGAATGAAATCAGTTGATTGGAGTTCATACACAAGAATACTTGTGTCAGAAGGGGGTTTGAATCATGTTACGTGACAAACTTTGGGTTTGTACCCTCTGGAAC